TTAGGTCCGATTGACAACGCTGATAGTCTCGTAGGACTTACATCTGATCCAGAGCATTGCTACTCCAGAGGAACATTGGTCGTAGCTTGCTGGAAAGAAACTTATAAATAGAAGATACAGCAAAATTGCTCATCTTACTAAGGCGTGTAGGATATGCTTCTACAAACCATTGACTCCTTTTTAATTAGACATTTGTTCTTATAAGGACAATCCATATACCTTCAGGCTTATTACGTGTTCATCTACGTATATATATATATATATAAGAAAAAAAATTTTTTTAGCCTCGAGCAAATTGATTTTCTCGGCACCTTAATGTTGGATTTACATTTGATAAGTTACCCATTTATAATGCGAGCTACTTCTTTTACTACTTATTTTCTTCGACCCATTTGCTCGTTATTTTCCTCCTGAAGCCATAACTCTTAAGCAAATTCAATAAAAACCCTCTGACTGTAAGATGGTGAAAATGGTCGGTTTTCTAATAACATATTGGCCATATAGACATTTTTAACTTAAACTCTATACGACTACATATTTTATGGGAGGGGTTTTACCTCGTTTTTGCAACTTGCTTGTATTGTCGGAGATCAAGATCAACGCACCTAGGTACGAAGTCCAGGGTCCGACGCTGGAAATTATCATGAGTTTATGGCAGAGTACTCCGGACTAGGTGCGTTTATCTATATATCTCTAACTACGAACAAGTTGCGGAAACGAGGTTAAGTCACTTCTATACAGCGAAAGGAGACCGCGACCCTAGCAAAGGCCACAACATCTTGGTCGTCATACCTTCGACTTAGATATACTATATAAGAAAGCTCTGATTCCATTTGTCCTTATTTGATTCAAATATTGTTATTCAGCTTATATCAGCCAATTCCAATAGATTGAAATCTCGTTTGGTTGTTGTGTCCTAATGCATGATACTGACTGATTTTGATTTTAACATCTCAATCGGGTAAGGAGTTCTATTTATTTACCTTTCTCTTTATTCTGTCGGCTTTCTCAATATTGTTGTTCTACCATCTTCTAGGCGAAATTCTCCTCCCGTGATATCAGCAGTCCGACCAACTTTCGCCATCTAGAACACATGGGCTTTGACAAGTCACGTTCACAGTACAGTATCTCTACTCAAGAAAGTGACACAATGAAGCAAATGCTTCAGATGATTGGTTTCAACAATGTCGCACAGGGCGACGTGGAATTTGCCGTCGAATTCCTAAAAAATGCCGGATCTGATGTTCAGCAGGTAAAGTATGCATTTTTCATTTATAGGGTAATTCATATCAATAGGATAGAATTTAGACTATTGCTTAAGTCACTGATACGTTTTTATCGTGTTTTCGAACACCATATAGATTAAGAAGGAGATCGAGCGTCAACCACCAAATCGAGTGGCTCCTACTGTATCTACGATTCGTCGAACTGCGCCTCCACCGCCCCAGCCTTTACCCATAACTCATGGGACTGTGCCTGGCCCGCAGCGACCTCCAAACCCCTATGTTCTGCCCGGCCGCCAGCATCCCATGGCTCCTGTTCATCCGCCACCGCCACCTCCACCTCCACCACCTCAATCTGTTCCACCACTCAGAGCTAGTCGGCCGCATCCACCTGCTCCAGTTGCCGTGCCTGTACCTCCTGTCCCGCCAGCGCGCGTCACTCCGACCAAAGTCTTCCCATCCCTGCCATCTGTCCCAGACTCTGCCTCCGGACTCAAAGTTGAAACTTCAGCTATGGCCCCGCCAC